GGATTATGTACCTAGAAATTATGTACCTAGCTTCTTCCAAAAGAAGATTACAGAAGATTTTACGTCAGAGTGAGCGATGGAGAACGTGAACAGTCAACGCACGTTCTCCATCGCTCACGTACCTAGGCAGCGTCAAAGGTTGACAGCCACATATTTGTTTTACTGTCTTGAGAACTGTAACGAACTTTTGTAAGTTATCTGGCTCCTCTCGAATTCTACTCATTACACGATAAGCTTGCTGTTCTTGTGTCATAAAGGCCGGTGGTAGTAGACCATGAATTCCGAGGTATTGGCGTTCAGTTAATGAAAAAGCCATGCCCTGGAAGGAGTGTGAATTAATCATTTTCAAGATTATAAAATACAAGAAGAACTCATTCTTGTCGAAACATCCACTTCTGATTACATCAAATACAACATGATGGCTCGCGCTGTTCAAAACTATAGGACCTACTTTATTACGCAGCAATTTTTTGACAGTACGGTCCTTATCTAAACCCCAAGAAGTAATTATTGTTCAGGTCATTATGAGTAAAACAACAAAGGGTCGAAGATGCGCACAACGAGGGAGATTCGAGTTGGACCTCTCAATGAGCAGGAGTGAGTAGTATTTTGCTCTTGGGAGGGGGTGAACGTATATGACGCAATCGACACTGGATTTTTTCGAAAGATTTGGGAGAATTACTAGCAAGCGTTCGAGAACATTCAGTGAAGATTAGGAAACTGTGAGATTTTCCCAAAATGTTGGAAACTTAGGGGAGCTTCGCAATAATTCCATGTTCGGTCTTCTTGGAACCTGGGCATTTCGATATTGTGTGTTCTTCTTCTGTGCCGTACAGGTTGTTATGGTGGAACCCGTTTATTGGTCAACGTTTCGACAAACCGTCGTCTTCAGGACCTGCGAGTCCACCAGTCCCCAGCAGCCTCCTCTCTGTAAGTGAGTAGGACAAAATAGCCAGTGAGTAAGATAATACTTTATCTCACTCACTGACTACTTTGTCTATCGCATTCACTTACTGAGAGGAGGCTGCTGGGGGACTGGTAGACTCGCAGGTCCTGAAGACGACGGTTTGTAGGAACGGGGGTTGACTAATAAACGGCTTCTACCATAAAATCCTGGACGGCACAGAAGAAGAACACACACAATTAGGGGAGTTTGTCAAACTTTTTATAGATTTCAGGAAATTTTGATGCTACAGGTATGATTTTCATGGAAGAAGTCGTCCTGAAGCCCCAGCCAGGATAGGGGTTGGGAGCGGGGAGGGGTTGTTTTGGCCTTTTTTGGCTTTTGGCCTGCGAATTTTCCTCAACGCGGCTCGCTCACCGTTTTTAGGCACTGTTCGCCGTCTGTGACCCTAGAGAACAGGCGAATCCGCGAAGAATTACACGAGCAGCGATCGCAGGAATCGGCGCACACGAGAATGCATAACCGAAACGCCGGAGCAGCAGCGAAGAGGGATGGACAGGTATGGATCGTTGAGCCCATCACCATCGGAATCAGTGGATTGCGGATCGACGCGCCTTCTCCTATTCTCTCGTTCGATTCGTGTGCAACCCTTTCTGCGGCTCCGTTCAGTCGCAAGAGCACTTTTCTGCACGGGATACATTTTAGTCCTGTTGCTCCAGTACTACCCTAGGGACGATTTCATGAAGTACAAAATGAAACAATTACCTTATTCAGTCTAGAAGTATTAAGGAGTTCGTATCCTTTCTCACTCGGTGTGACCCTTTCCGGCCTATACAGCTTATGAAGTGCCAGCTTCTTCGGATCACTCAGATCAGGTTCATATTTCTTTGCCAAAGCGGCTGCTGATGTGTAGATGGACCGGATGTGACAACAAACGCTGAAGATTGAAACTGGCGTTCATACTAAGCGACTGAAGAGATTGAGAGATCAAGCCATAGGAGAAAGGACTTTAAGGCGTTACGATATTCAACTAACGAGATTAGATACGTATTGATTGGGAGACGGAGACAACGTGTATACATCCAGACTAGTCAAATCTCATCTTTTCTGTCTCAATATTTTCAGAGGAACATCGTAATTTCTTACTATCCTAATCTCCCTATCAATGCACATCTTTTTCACTAGAGCCCAATCCCCTGACTTCCGAAGTCGTGGAGCTGATCAAGGCTTAACATAATGAACACACACAGACTTGATTGAACATGAAGAACAAGATAAGGTGAACTTTAAGAAACTCAAAACATGGAAACTCACCGATTGGGTCCCAGTGGGAAAAGCATATTCCAGCGCTATCTAAAAACATTTTCCACTTGAGATTACACTGCTAATACTATGAAGTAAGTCAAGAGGATGTGCAGAAGTCGGTACTATGGAAGAGTGCACTGATTCTCAAGTAGAAATAACTTCGGGGAAAATAATTTTCTCATCCGCCTTTGACTTTATCGCTCTTCTAAGGCAAGGCTCAGAAGGAGGAACACGGTGTAGGTTGCGAAAATTATTTTTCCCGAAGTTTTTCTACTCGAAACTTGGCGAACCCTCCCAAATCATATAGCGCCCAGACAGCCAGGATTTTTCGAGAATTGCTTACAATGTGAACAGAAAGAAAACGAAGACACACGAGTGACATCCTCGCAGGAGCGAAGCACGAAATGAACAGAAATGCTCGCACTGTTGCCGATTTGATCTACATCGATCGATCTCAAAGGAATTGTAGATCGACGAGGAAAACTGCGTACTACATCTCTGGGTTGTCGACCGTCAATTGGAACGAAAACAGAGGAATGACCGCTTGTAATGACTTACACTTACAAGACTTTGGAATTGACAGGTTGAAACACGGCTGGCCATGTGTGGACGCTCCACGGTTAGCAATCAATCTCATGTAAGCTGAAAATTTTGCTGGAAATAAAATTTTTTCTCAGAGTTTCATTTTGAGCAGTTGACTATTAAAATTTGCGAACTGAAGAAATTCATCTGGGCGCTATCAGAATACGGGGCGTTTTGTTAAACGTGTGCATTTTGGTCAAGCCGTGGTAAGATACCTGCTGACACCTGTTTAAAACTTGGAACGCGTCTAAACGTGTATATTCTCGCTCAATGTCATTCCCACGCATTCCGCTGTTTTTTTTCTTATTTTGTAACATCTAATCCTTTCAGGCGTATCGAAAGGTATGGGGGCATCCTTAAGAACTAGACCCAGGAAAAAGCAGGATTATCGGGGCGCTCATGTCCATGATGGGGGGGGTGGAGGTGAGTAAACCAGCCCTTTTGGCGTTTCTGCTGGGGTCCGTATGCTGAATGTTGGGGAGGGGATGGGGTCCCCGAGGTCGACGGACTACTTGAACTCGGTCGGTACGGTAGGAGAGTGATGACGAAGTGGTGCAGCTAGGTCCAGCAGCTCCGCCAAAAGGGCTGGTTTGCTTACCCCAGGACTAAGCCTTGGAGAGAGGACGGACCTGCGCTCTCTCGCAGGTCCGTCCTCTCTTTAAGGCTTAGTCCTGAGGTAAGCATCAAATTGAGGCGGTTTTAAGGACCGAGTTGAAGTAGTCCGTCGACCGTCGGGGACCCCATCCCCTCCCCAACATTCAGCATACGGTCCCAGCCGAAACGCCAAAAGGGCTGGTTTGCTTACGTCGGGGGGGATGGCAAAAACAGAGACCTTCGAGTTAATTTTAACATTTGTGGAAGATGAACTCCAATGGAGCTGCACTTTTGGATGTTACCCCGTTCACAAACTACCACACCTTCGGGAGAAAGTCTGTTGTAAACTAGACGTTATCTCGGAGACTTGCTCTCACTTTTTTTGGCAACAACTGCCTCTGACTTTGGTGGTCGCAAAGAAGTTTAGTTCGAAAATTTTCTCATTAACCCAATCCGTAAGAGAGATGCGGCGCACCTCGAGCTCGTGCAGAAACTTTTTGCATTTTATCAGTTGAATCTATTCGGGTTGCTCCAATAAAACCAGCATAGAAAGAGTCGGTAACCTCTTCAAATAATGATTGCTTCCCAAGATTTTCTGGAAGGAGTGACGGCAGATCCTGAGATCAAAGCGATGTGACTCACGCTGGCTTCATCGTTGTGAGCCATCCTCTTCTAGGTGATTGCCCCAATCCTCTGAGTGTGCACAGTTCTTGAACTTCCACTTTTCGCAATCCCAGAGACGTGTGCTTGAACCTTGAGAGCACCGAACATGTTTCAAAGAGTTGAAGAGGGAATACCGAGTCGCTTTCCGAAGTTGCAATTTCGTCATTGGGCAGCCTCTTGGTAATGGGTCGATGCAAAAAAATCTTCATGGCGAGAGTTCAGATGAACTTTGGACCAAACAACTTATGGTGCTTCTTACATAGTTTCAAAGCTTTCGAAGAGTTTCGAAACACTCTGAAAATACTCCACGGCTCAGTGCCAGCAAGCGGTCAAAGCCGCGTCCTATACTTTTCGGCCACCCTGTATTGCGATAGCGCCTTCATCTCAGGACAGCCACATTTTCTTTGCCGCTTTTTTTTGATACACTGGTCAATTTCTTTGGTTGGGCTTGGGTGAGTGTAAGGGTAAGCCAATGTCAAGGAATCCTTGGTAAGGAGTTGTACTTCACTCGCTGAGAGGAGGGGGTTGTACTCGGGTCGAATTAGCAGTGTGTTGTATCGAAAAATTGGAGTGGGAGGCGTGTGGGGTGTGGGAATTTTTTGTATAGGGGTTGTGGATTATTTTGGAATGTTTTCACAAAATTTCTGCCATTTTGGAATGCGGATGTTATGTAATCAGCGACCTGGTCTATGATACGAAGCTGCTCTTCAGTGACTATATTCTGATCGTAGCAATCAGCGATCTGGAGCAGCGGCTTTCTGGAGCGAGACTCACTTTTCAGTGAAACCAACGAGCAGAAATCGGCCTTCTGACAC